CAAACTCAAAATATCCCAAATTTTAACTCAAAACCTCTCCCAACCCAAGAAAATGAAGGAGCAAAAATTTGGGAAAACCCAAACTTGGGGCCAAATAGTAGTCCAGCTATTACCTAGACCCCAAAAAATTTCAATAGAGCCCATCTGCTGCTGGCGTAACCCATGTGCAAATAATCAGATTGGGTCTGCGTTGCAGTGGTTGTCTGCTGCTTGATGCAGTAGCTGGCCAAGTGTCGCATTTTGGTTTTGTTTTTTTATTTTTATTTTTTAATATTCTAATAGTAACTTAAATCAACCATCTATATTAAATCTAAGCAATTTTAATGGTAAAAAAAAAAGATCCAAAGGCTGAAATTTAAATCTAACGGTCAAAATAATATTTTAAATTAATCTAAATAAGATCCAACTCCAAAAATCACTCCAAACTCTATAAATACTCACCCATTTCTCAATTAATCTACCAAAAATATTTTTTCTATTTCTCAATTTATTTTTCCTTTGTAAATTTCATCAATCTCCTTTCATTCTCATACTTTTCATATCACGCTTTATTTTGATGATTGTTATTATAATTCACTAATGGCTTGATAGAGGGGTTTAGTGGCAGTAAGAATCTAATTAAATGTCGATTACATGTTTACACTCAAATATATATAAACGTTTATTTGAGTGTAAACATGTAATCGAGGGTTTAGGGTTTAGGGTGTTTGAGTTGGTACATTGGATATCAATGCGGGTTTTTAAAATGGTATCCTGGAAAGTGAATAATAAGGGTTATGGTGACTTTGGGTATGTTATGGATTTTGGTTTTGGTGCATTAGTTTATGTGGTTATCGGACTTTGATTTGCAATATCTTTGAGAATGTCGGAATTAGTATGCATATATTGATGGGCTATGGTTTTTGGAAATTTAAATATGGTGTTTTGGATTTTATTATCTTGTCTTGTGGATTTCCAGAGGTTGTATATTTCCTAAGTATATGAATAGTGATTTGAATATTAATTAAATCGAATGGGCTTATTTAGTCTCGATGTGTTTCTTAATTATGGTTTTAATATGGTTTTCAAAAAGAAAGTATGGGTATTATTTTATTATATATATTTTTGTTATATGGAAACGTTTTGTTTTGGAAATTTAATTTTGAGAGTATTATCTTTATTATATATTAGTTTATGAAAGTGGATTTTGGATCTTGACGATGGCACACCATCTCATGTACTCCCCTTGGATACTGATTCTGGATTTGATGGATACTTGAAAACTATAATTATTGTTTGGATATGTCGGAACCTGGGCACCCTTGACAGGATGTTACCATAGACCCTTAGCGGGTAGGACTTATTACAGGCGCATGAGTATTGAGGATTTTGTTGTGCGTGCTGGTGAGCCCAGTCCCCCTGTGTTGGACGGCTCGTCCTTGACCACATGGTTGTTGAGGGTTCCTTCGTGTGGTTCAGCCAAACGATTCCCGCGTTGGATTGTTTCCCCGATACATGATGTGTACTATCATATGTACCTCTCCTTGGATACTAATACTTAGAAACAGTGGACTGGATACTTGGATACATGGAAGTGGATACTTGGATATGTTCAGAACCCGGGTACCCTTGATGGGGTGTTTCGTATACCCTTAGTGGGGTAGTCTGCTCACGTAGGACTTGTCATAGGTGTACGAGTATTAAGGATTCTGCTGTGTTGGTCAGCCCAGTTTCCCGCTTGGACGGCTCATCCCTAGCCACATGATTGTTGAGGATTCCTCCATGTGGTCTAGTCAAACTAAGGGTGGGCACGGTACAATACAGTACAGTATTGAGCTCGTACCGCTACATATACCGAAAATTAAAACCGGTCTGGTACGGTATGAGATTATCATTTGCCAGTCCCCGGCTTGGACGGCTCATTCCTAGCCACATGTTTGTTAAGGATTCCTCTATGTGGTCTAGTCAAACTAGGGGTGGGCATGGTACGGTACGGTATTGAGCTCGTACCGCTACCGATATCGGAAATTAAAACCGGTATGGTACAGTATGGGATTATCATTGCCAAAGTTTGTACCGTACCATACCGTACCAAATGAGCACAGTACCGGTATGGTATCGGTACCATTTCGGTACCAAAATGATACAACTAAAAAATGAATCAATTCAATATTCAACATATTCATTCACCAAAATAAGTGGCATGCTTGGTTTATTTTTACATAAAGATTCTTGTTCTTATCTATAAACTCTGTCATAATACTCTTAATTTAAGTCCAATGTCGCTTGAGCAGTTCATAAAACACACAAACCATAAAAGATGATGTTGTTCATAAAACAGACATCTTATAATCAATTGCCACTTTTTTTTCTTTCTGAATCTCCTCCACCAATCAGTACTCAATTACTAGCATTTTAGTTCTCAGTAGAAATACATGACCACAAAATAGACAAACCATAATTATAGAACCACAAAAGCATAATTCGGTATGGTACTGTATTGACCGGTACCAAATATTTGATATCGCTACCATACCAACTCTATTGGTACGGTACAGTACGGTACCGAATATCTCCCCATCCCAAATGAAACGGTATGAAATCGGTATGGTATGGTATGGTTAGTGTACGGTTTCGGTATTTCAGTTTAGATGCCCTAAGTCAAACGATTCTCGGATTGGATTGTTATTCCCTTGATACATGATGATGGTGTGAGGTGTGTGTATTGATATATATATATATATATATATTCGTTTTTGGGTTGTGATTCTTGAACTGGTGCTTCGTGAGTATCTGCACATGTATGAAAGTCTGATTTATAGTTTGGAAAGTGTTTTTCGGTAACGTACGCCTTGGATAGGGTATGGTTGCGGGAAAGAACTGATAAAAGGAAAAGAACTCATAAAGTGTTTAGTAGTTGCCTAGTTGAATTTGATGTTGTAATGAATATAAATTAAATTGTTGGCATTACTTTAAATAATCAAATATTATATATGAATCATGGTTGTTGATATAAAAACTATGTGTGGCTTGATCCCTCACTAAGGGGTACGTAGGTAGCCTGGGGTTTCACCTAGGTGCAGCCGCAACTTAAACTGTTACTTTGGTTCGGCATTTCTATTTGTGTTTAATTTCCATTGAACTTAATTTCGGTTGTAAACTGAAGTCTTCTTTTAAATATGCTCTGTTATCGCCCATGTTAGGGTTGGCTGTAAGGCCAGAGGCCTATTATGTAAATTGTGTGTTACTACATTGTGCATGCTGCTGGATGGAATTTATTAATATATTTTATATGTTAAATTTTTTGGAAATGTCCCTTTTTTTAGAAGAGACTCTGCATAGAAAGTCTCGTTTCTCTTTTTCTTAATTTGGACAAAGAGGCTTGATGTTAGTAAGTGGGCCGGGCATCAGTTTGATGTCGGAAACACCATAGAATTCGTCTCAGATTCCGAGAAAATTCGGAACGTCCTATCAGTTAGCGTGAGTCAACTCTCCTAGTATGATTAGGAGATAATTTTGGTAATTATTGTACAATTAGGATTTCTTGTCATTATGAGGATTTCTTGCTTACTAAGTCAACTTTGTATTCCTATATATATTGATCTTCAAAGAGAGAGGAATACAAATTGAAATTATCCCAAACTCTAGTATCTGTTTTATCTTGATTAAGCTTCAATAATTCTGTTATTTTTCCGTGGATAAGGATCAAACAACTCAGATCTGATTACAGAATTGGGAACCTCTTAAAATGGTCACTGTATGGTATAATATACTGGATATCAAAAGTAGCGTTAATAAAAGTAGAGATATATGGTTAAACATCTTATTAAAGAGAGACACGTATGGAGGGGAATATCACGTTTTTCTTCGTATGTAGTTTCGTTTGTGTATTTCTTGGTGTAAAGGAGATAGAAAGCAAGTACAATCAAAACGAATCACTTGCTAAATACAAACTAATAATCAGGCATCACTGACTGACTCCGTGAAGAAATTGAGAAAAAGGCATCCTTTTTAATATTTGTCGTAAGATGCTCTACAACTCAACAAAGAAAATAAGAGATGGGACTAAAAGAAAGAAAAATAAAATTTTGAGTGCCCATCTCCATCCTTGATGAATCTGAGAAAACTTAATTCAAATTAGGAAGCAAAATTTTCTTCGATTGCACTTTTACATCGAATATTACAACTCTCTTTGGATCATATCACATTTATACAGTTGTTTGGGACAAGAAAGTCGAAGAAAGAACCTGTGGGAAAAGTTTCTTACTTATCACATGCAATTGCCCCCGGCTAAAGTTTAAAGAGACACCTTGACTTTGGTGCGACGGTATCTTCTTTTTTGCTACAGAAATACTTTGATTTAATATCGTGTTTTGGACCCTAAACTTAAACTTTACTTATTTTCCTTTTGTTGGTGACTTTGAATGGAACCTTGACTATATATGCAACTTTTTATTTTTTTATTTTTTGTTTAATTGGTGTCCTTGGGTGTGTGCACAACTTTTGTTTACTATCGTAGCCATCGAGGCTGCCTTCAGAAAGGAGCACCACATCTCTATCATTATGAACATAATTACTCACATGATCAATATTTAATCCATACTTATTGCCTAATCTTTCTCTTCATGAAATCTAAAACTTTGTCTCATAAAGAGTTGGTGCTACTACTCCCATTACCAATTTGTTTTGGGTGGAAGAGAGATTGTAACAAGAACCCAAATTATAGTAGCACAACTTCTTAATTATAAGCTCATGCTAGGTCCCTTCATTTTATAATGTGGAACATTTCCTCACATTCTCACACGCCACCTCACGTGAGGCGAAATTTCAAACATAACACATGGACAATACATATAGATTGGGTGACTTACGTGGTGCCTCATCTCTTTCTTCTGTTCAGTAATTTTTTTTTATTGTCCAAGGAAACTGTAATGATCCAATGATTATCAGATGCAACTTATTCAATGTGTCTAAATGGCATCTTCTTTCTACATTGTTCCCCAAACAGTGTCAACTTTTTTAGCATAAATTCTCCTTCTGATTTGCAATTCCTACCACCAAACGAGAGAATTAGAGCAGAGTGGGGAGAAAAATGAAACAAACCATGATAAGCAATAATAAACCCTTGAGGAAGACAAGAACTTTTCTCCTTAAGAGGTCAGAATCAATGCAGCAACCCACAGAATTTGTCCCTAGAAAGTCTCCTGTGGTCGAATTCCCCACCTCTCCTCAACTGATATTTGGGGAGGAGATGCTTCACTTCGGTCACCCACAGCATCCTCTGTCCCAAGTTAACCTACCTGACCTTTTCACCTGTGCTGGCTGCAAAGAGTATGGTGCAGGCAAGAGGTTCGTCTGCCAGCAATGTAACTTTCAGCTACATGATTTTTGTGCCTTGGCTCCTCCTGCTCTAAATAGCCACCCCTTTCACTTCCAACACCAACTTGTTTTGTATTCTAAATCAGGTGAATTCTCTTTCTCACACTTACATGTGGCATGCATATCAAAGTTATTTCATCATCTAGCTTTCCAAGTTCATTTTGAAACAAATCCAAGCTTGTCAGCTAGTTATACATACATACGCGTAAATGTTCTCTTACTAAATCTATATATATATTAGTCGATTGTGAATTTGAACTATTGATTAGACCTGAATATGAGGTTCATATATTCACAAGCAACATATAAGATTTGTTAGATGACCTCTTAGGGGTCTCTCGCTCTCGTCAGATTTCTCTTGCTTTGTAGTTGTTGTTGGGGTTTATCCCCCCCATTTCATAAAATAAAAACAAAAACATATAAGCATATGTCTAGCAAGAGAACATTACTTTGTACATACGTATATATTTCCTTTTATTTGTATTTATACCTCTGATGATGACTGAAATATTAATTTCTTGGAAATTATGAAATTAGTCAAAGGAGGAATTGCACAATCGAAGTGTGATGTTTGCCACAAGCCCGCCAAAGGCTATGCTTTCAGATGCAGCACATGTAGCTTCCAGATGCATCCTTGCTGTGCTATGCTGTCTTCAGAAATCAACTTGCAAACCCATCCTCATACCCTCAGGCTTTTGCCAGCAACGTCATCATCAAACGGCGACCCTAATAGTAGCAGTAGTTTTGTTTGTGGAGAATGTAGAAGGAAGAGGTCAGGGAGAGTGTACCACTGCACCGTCTGCAATTACCATGTTCATGCAGTTTGTGCTAAGGACATGATCAATGGGCTTCATGACAATGGCCACAAAGGCCGAGAAAAGCCAAGTGTGTTCGGGGCTGCTGCTCGCCTTGCATCCCAAGTCGTCATTGAATTCATCGGCGGCCTCATGGAGGGGCTTGGGGAAGGAGTTGCTGAAGCCTTTGTTGAAAATATTGCCAGATCAGGAAGAGCCAATGGCAGATCCAACAACAACTGAGTGGAACTACATGCTTCAGTTCACCACCCTATAATATTATAATGAAGAATGGCATGCACGATAATATTGATGAAGCCCTGGACTGTGGAGTCTATATAAATGAATTAATTATTATTACCACATATGTTTATTATGATTGATTAATATCACTGTAAACAGCTGATGGGCTCAGATATATATATGTGTGTGTGTGCGCGTGCGCGTGGGAGTGAAGAGTATTTGCTTTTTATGTAAATTATGATGATTTATATATATATGCTTAATTAATTAATATCACTGTAAACAGCTTATTCTGGTACGTATTTTTTTGTCTATACCAGAATAAGCAATTTCATTAACTGATAGAGACGGATGCATCCAAGTAGAATTCAGGATAGAAGTTAGGCATGGTGTGGCTCACTTCCAGCCAATGCGTATTTTATTTTTATCAACACAACAAATCAGTAAGATAAATGCTTTCCCAATATGTTTCCATTTCCTTAGCCAGATACCGATTAGGGTGGGGTGGGACACTGTCTGAATTAGATTGATTCACGCGCACACAACAAGCACCCCCCCCCCCCACAACAAACACAACCCTCCCCCACGCTTTCAGCGACCTGTACACAATCCCAGGTTGCTTGCAACACCCACACATGGTGCGACTCTTGCTTGAACCAGTAGGACCGTACATCATTATTGCACATTTCTCACCCAAATTCACACTGTCAATCCTGGACTGAACAAACTTGTTGTAAAACGACCCCAAATCATCTTCTTCCTATAAAGAAACCTCGTTGAGAGTGAAATCTCGGTACCCGAAATCGGCATGGACACGAATGCTCTGCTTTTGAGGATTGATCTATAGAACCAATGTTGTTTGTGGTTCTTTTCGACTTGGGTAATCTCGAATTCTGGCTAGGACTTCAACTGGGTGGTTCTTTTGCGGCAGAGTTGGGGTTTGGAGATGGGTGTGCTTTCAAGAACTGGAGACGCTACATGGATTGTGGGGTCTTAATTAGAGATGTGTGGCTGTGATTGGATTTGAAAGAATAAGGCTTTGGAGCCAGTACTACAATTAAAGATTCAAGATCAGTTGCAGACATAAGAGCATCTCCACCCACAAGGGCAAAGTCTAGGGCAAGGGCAAGCAATGGCTGTTACTATTCATGTGAATAGTGTCAACCTTTGCATTTGTGGTTCCACCCACAAGGGCAAAGTCTAGGGCAAGTCTAAGGCAATTACTATTCATTGTACTTTATTT